GCTTTCATACATTTCTCTGAAACAAAATATCAGCATGTTAAAATTAATAGATTCATACCAACGAAAATAAGAAAATTTCTAGTTGTTTACATATCAACGTCGATAAAACAAAAGTGTATCATTTCTATCTAAAAAATCTACAATCGTGTCTAACTTCCGGTTTTAATGAGGAAATGTACTAATCAACACACTCGAAACTAACTTTCATTTTGTTCAAATTAATTTGTTGAACGGGTGTTGCTACTTTCTCTGTACCGAAAAAAGAGTTGTCCTATGCTCGTGTGACGTGAAACAGAAAATGGAACTCATCAAAGGTTAAGGACTCATGGAACCGTTTATGAAAGCATTCTAAAGAACATATCCAAATTCACATCGCACAAGGGAATAGAGACTACCCAATGAGATAGTAATGACGAAAATACGACTTGCCTATAATTTCCATAAACATGCATCTTTTGAAACCCTGTGATTTGTGTGAAGTAGCCTGTTGTAGACGTCTTGTACTTGGCAAGGTGGTTCCCCCCCACCCCCACCCCAACCCCCACCCCCCATCCCCCTTTTTTCGATTAGCTCATAGATAACATTTCATGAAACGCACAGCTCTCTTTATTAGAGAATGAATGCATTCATTTTCATTGCTAAATTTTACTTGGCGGATGTAATCAATGCAGCAGAAAACGCTTTTTCTTCCGGAACACTTCCTTGTACTTTTGGTCATATTTTGCCTTAGATTTTCTTAATTTGCATTATTACTGTGTTATCATTTTAGGTATATTTTCCTATTGTTTTATATCAAACATATGAATTAATTATATTTGATTACACAGAGTGGAAAATCAAACGTTGTCGAGGTACGTTTATAGATTATATTCAAGAGTAGCAAAAATTATTATTATTGATTTCAAGCAGTTTTTTGGAAGGTTGTTGACAATTAGCGTAGAGATGTGATTTCATCAATTTCACAACCCTATATGGCTTAGAACATTGAAATCGTGTTCCATATTACAAAGTAAAATATTAATATCAATACAGAGGGAGTGTTAATACTTTAATTAAGTTAATGATAGTCTCTTGACATGCTTGACATCCCAATGGATTAACATGTAAAGTATTCCACATTTGCAATAATAAGCGCATGGTAAAAAGCCAGATTATATTGAGAATAATATGTGCTAGGATTGTTAATGAAGAGCACAAAAGAATGTATTTGATTGTTTTCTAACTACAAAAGAACCAATAATACAATTATCAATGATATTTCCTCAGGGACGAATAATTGTGTGTTAGTGAATGATTTCACTTAGCGTCAGTACCTTATTTCTCTTCAAGTAAATGTGTACTCAAATGATTCCATAATGGAAGACCATTAACAAAAAAGCCCCTGTCCATTAGGGTAAAAACATTAAATATATCGAGGATAGAAATTGGCAATGAACACGTGATTGTATTAATAATCTGTAGTTCGCTTAACATTCATATCCGCTATGATGTGTCAATAGAGCTTCATTATAAGTGGAGACTGAACGGAAACATCAGGATGCCTACCTTCATCGTTAAAGCCTTGACTATTTCTCTACTCTGTCTACTTTTGAAAGGTAAGACGGATAAAAATGTTCATTGCACAGGCTCCGAATTATCATCATGTGTATATAGTTGTTGTATACAACAATGGCACATTTGATTACATTTTAGTAAAAAAAATCTGTTTCGCTTATTTTTGCGTGAGTCTTCATCTCATGAATACAAAGTTGAACAATTGTATGCTGTCTAAGTATTAAATTTAATGGTATAAATACATATGTATATGTCCCTATAATTGTTCAACATAAATATCTAGAATCTAATGTAAAGCGTTTTGAATAGGAGAAATTATTAGTATCCGTTTACTCCATTCTGTTATTTTATTGTATTTTAGTGACATCACTGCAACGTCGATGTTGCCAATTCATATTGATATCATCAATTCATTAAAAATTGGTTTGCGGTGGTCGCGTTGTTAAGGAATTACTAGCATTCCTCTACTACCAAACATTGGCACGATCTAAAATGAACATGGCTGTTAATAGGGCGTACAGCAACAAAAAGCAAACCAATTACTAATTCGTTAAAGCGATATCACCGAGTCGTTTTAGTGATATCACTAAATGAATAGGCTATATCAACAAAATGGACAGGACATAATTATGACCAATTAAAATGAATTGGTGATGTAGTGATGTCTCAATAACGAATCATTTCGACATTCTGTAACGTTTTCCAATGACTCTCGAACAAGTGAAGATTATGATGATAATAACGAATTCAAACTAAACAGAGGATATCATCATAATGATTTGGTGATGTCACTATTACAATGATGTGGAACAATTATACAGAAGCGCATCAAGTGAATAGCACAGTTCACGGAGCCTTAACTAGAAAATTATTTGAGTTAGACGTTGGCAGTCTGAATCCGAATAGTGTTGATATTATCAATCAATCTGGTTATCCTACTTAAACTTTTTTCCCCAAATTCGCCTTCTCAGATACAGATCTTAAATTTCTTTGAAGTTTTATGGAGATAATCTAGAATATTATTTAATAATTTCTTAATTTGATGAAACAAAATATGTATTTAACAACGTGCCGCCATTGATTGGAATAAGTATAACTAAGCACAAAACTGGCGAGTCTCATACGAAATACATAGCTAACTTCAACGTGGATTTAATTGCAGTTTCAAGTACGATTTTATCCACATTTATCAAGTCAGGATGGCCGAGCGGTCTAAGGCGATGCGTTCAGGTCGCAGTCGGGTCTTCCCGGCGTGGGTTCGAATCTCACTTCTGACATACAGTTTTTTCATCGTTAACATTCACCTCACTTAACATTACTTCGTACCGGTAAAAAGATTTTTTCTAATATATACCTCCACTGGACGGTTGCTTAACATATAGTGTTATAATTGATAACTAATTGAAGGATTCTATAATCTTAAAATTTCTTATTAGACTTCTAAGCAATTTCTAACATACAAAATTCTCTTTATAATAAAGAAACCAGATGTGTCAGTGTGACATGAAAACCCTCCCTGGTAACCAATGAAAATGTCCTTGTCATATATTATTTGAATAGTTGTACCCATACCTTTATCAATATGTGTTGGTGATTAGTTGAAGCAAGGCTCACATCTACACAATGAGCTTAATATGAAATCTTTTTTACTTTATTTTGAGTCGAAGTCCAACAATGTCATGAATAAGCCAGAGGACATTACGAAAGGCCGCAATCCCATAAGCAGTTTTTGCAAATGATTGTGAAATAAGATCGGGAGTTTTGCCTGTTGATAGCAAAGAATATGAAGTAGAACCGGAGTTGTGTCTGTTGAGTTTGTGGTTAAGAATCTTAAGTGAAATTGAAGACATAACTTTAGATTCTATGGCAAATAGTTCTAAAAGAATTTTGCCGATTTCAGCTTAAACATACATCGGTAGAGATCGTGATATCAAATTTATACCCTGATTGCATGATCTAGGGTTAATAATCTGAAAAGAAATATCAAATAAAAATTATATACAACAGAGAAAACAATACCATAAGTTACTAATCAAGATCATGTTGGACACACAAAATGACAGATATCTAAAACCAGAATAATAAATTGTCAAATATTGCTGCTGGTTTGCCATCTTTCATAAACTTCCACTTTAGATCGATAAGGCTCTGACGTTTGCTTATTTCCTTATCTACCAAAATATACTGTTTCCGGGAGAATTTCTTAAAACATACCAAGATCAATGACCATTACTTTCCACACAAGCTTTTGACTGTAACGAATAATATGATGAGCTCATGTTTTTTTTTTTTTTTTTTCGCTTGATAACAACTGACATTTCAATATCTTTCTCCACTACAAAGTACACAGGAAAAAGCAAACGATGACGGGCAATGCCAGTTTTTAGGCCATTTCAATGCGGGAACAAATATGTATTCCCAAGCGGGAAATCGAACCCCGGCCGCCGCGGTGAGAGCGCGGAATCCTAACCACTAGACCACTTGGGACATGTATATTGAGACGACTTGACTGTTTGTGCTTCACGGTCTCGTAACAATTTGCAGCAGGAGCAATGATAACGGTTCTTCTAACGTTAGACATTGGAACTGTGTACACTGTTACCCTTGTGGTGGCTAAGGCGGATTGTTCGTCATCTATGTATGGGATGTGGAACAATTATACAGAAGCGAATCATGTGAATAGCACAGTTCGCGGAGCCTTAACTAGAAAATTATTTGAGTTAGACGTTGTCAGTCTGAATCCGAGTAGTGTTGATGTTATCGACCAGACTATAAAAAAAGAAAGGAGATTATCTTATCAAATCAAAAAATCTATTTTTATTCTATGGCTATTTAAATCATGTGAGTTACTGATGTAACATGTCATTAAATGCTTTCATTCTGAAAGATGTGTTTATTTCATAAATTTCCTGTTTGTAAAATGGCAAAGCACACAAATAATCATTTATAGGAGAACAGACGTGAAAATTATGGAGTTTTTTCTGTCAGTTCCGTTGTTTTATATACCTTGTTCTCGTTTCGGAACATAGCATTGCTTACTTGGATTTACCAAGATTTGCTTGGTGAGTATCGGCGATGAAGCAGAGAGCGCTTGCCCTTCCGGAGCACGATCCTTGTTTTCATGGTGTCGCCATGTAAATCTGTCTTTTTGTCCTTAATTTAAAGTAACTTCATCGTACTTGTGTTTGAATTATAATTCTGGAACACCTAGTCTTATTCTCCTTATATTACTGGTTTGGAATACCCGGGTCTTTTTTAAACAGCGCAATAACAAATCTTTGGAAGAAAAGCAATCACTAACAAATACTATAAGAAGATTATTATGTACTTCAATTAATAAAGATAAGAGTTACAGATATTCCGTGGAAAAATAGGTAGATTTATTTGTGTCATAAGTACAACATTCTATCAACACCGAATATTTGAGATATTTTTATTTATTCTAGTTGGCAGGAATGGTGCCGTAGAACTTAAATCAGATGAAAATCATCGGGCTGTGACAAATTCTGACATTGATGAGCCTGGAATACCCAGTTTGTCTGAAGGAATGAGTGGTCACAAATCTACAAAACTGTCAACTTTCATCTTTTTTAATTTAAACGTGACATGTCATTTGGACCAGTTGTGTTCCATGCCAAACAGAAATGATGTTACTTGTCGTTGTGATAATGAGTGTGTTCTATTTGGAGATTGTTGTGCGGACTGGTACACCCGAAATGTGTCAGGTAGCAATTCCGGTATACTGAATGCTATGGAAAACCCTTCTGACTGGTATACGGCAAATATGGATGACGCCAAATATGCTTCTATTTTGATCGGCTATATACGGAACAGCGAGTGTACATCAATTCAAAATGGATCGGACTTATTACAATTACGAGTCATTGCAAAGTGTCCAGAGGCATATAAGGATGAAGGTACAAAAGACGGATGCGAATCCGGTGCGTTACATCCTATAGAACACGTACCAGTATCTCTTCGTTTGCATGAATCTGTCCAAATTGTTTTTAAGAATAAGATGTGTGCTGTTTGTTATGGATATAAGGAAACAGAAGTGGTTCCTTGGACGGTGTATGCAAGGTGTCCTGACAACATGCCGTCTCAGGGTTCGGAGAATCTAAAGACTTCATTAAAGAGAGAATGCAAATTCTATGTCATTTCACCTTCCAATGTAGGTGAACTCAGAAAATGCCAACAAGTGGACTCCCCTCCGGAGTGTGATGGAAATAAAACAGCTTCACTTGCGACCGTTTGTAAATCCTACCTTTCGCCAGTTTTCCAAATGGCGTCCTTTATGAGAAATCCTCACTGTGCACACTGCCTCCTAGGCAATGACTCTCGATTAAGTTGTGAAATGGATACTGCTGGGCCGTTAATGCCCGAGTTTAGCCCAACTATTGGGCTGAATGTACTCTTTAATTTTAATCCTGATACTGGGTTTTGGTATTCTTCGGACGTAAGTAATTGCCCAGAAAGTCAGGTATGGTATCCGAATAAAGGAAAATGTCACTCGCTTCTCTGTCCTAAAAATTACATACCAAGTTATGGGAAGTGCATTGAAGACAAACATTCTTTCTTCAATGATACAAATAATATTCCCTTAGATGAAAAATCAATGACAGCATACAATGTTTCAATTGATATTACTGTCAGTGGAGGAGAAAAATACACAACTTCAATTCAGAATGTTTTACAGTTATTTATTGAAAACTTAGTTCAATCGGGAGTAAGAATAATTACAGACCTTCAATTGGAAGATATATTCCAAGAAATATCAGCAGATCACATTGAAGAAGTAATGGAATATCACATGATTGTCAACGCCAGCACAGCAGAAGCACTGGAGTCTGTGGTCTCACAAACGTTAAACATCGTACAACATTTTGAGTATCTTAATATTTCAGCCAAGTTAACCAACTTCGAGGAAAAGGAATCGTTACACTGTATCAATACAGACATCAAACAGTTTTTAGGATCGGGGATGGAATTTATAGGGGAAAATGATAATTTGTACATAAGACCACGCAAGACAAACATCACCATCGGTCTATATAGCACCCGATTCTCACTTTTGATGAACCAGGAAAATAAAAAGCCACACATAAAGTTCCTAGGGTTGTGCACAGAAGGGATATTACTTAATTGTACATTGCTATCATACAAAGAAAACGAGTATGAAATCAACAATTTTGTGGCTTTCATCAGCAACATAAACGAGGTTATCACTAACTTTGAATTAAAAAATGATATTTTGTATGTTTGTGACAACATAACTTTCCAGGGAATCTCAGAAGAGGCCGATGAAGCAATGCCCATTTTAACAATTATAATGTTCTCAATTTCAAGCACATCTCTAATCGCTTTGCTCATTTTACACTGTGCTTTTCCATCTCTTCAGACAGTTCACGGCAAAAATTTAATGTCATTTTCAACATCTCTTCTTACTGCCCAAACTCTATTTTTAATTGGGCCCTATATTCCAGGGATATTTTGTATTATAACTGCAATATTTCAACATTATTCTTGGCTGTGTTCCTTCATGTGGACAAGTGTCATGGCATTCGACTTGGCAAGAAAATTCAGCGCCAAAACAATGATGACATATACAACTAATAGCTTTCAATTCAAAAAATATTTCTGCGTGGCGCATGGACTACCGTTGCTACTGGTGACCAGCTGTGTGGTAGTTGACAACATCAGCATTAACGTGCCTGTGGAGTATGGTTCAGGTGGTGGTGGATATTGCTGGATTGGGAACCCTACTGTATCATTGTTTGTCTTTGGTTTGCCAGTTGCCCTATGTCTGCTCTTTAATCTGGTTTGCTTCGGTATATCTCTACATGGTATTCATGGAACAAAGCAAAGTGTAAAAACCGTGCGAAATAAAAACCAAGAAAGAAATTACTGTATCATATATACGAAGATATCACTGTTATTGGGAGGCACGTGGATCTTTGGTTTCCTATCTACAATCGTCAGAACAAAACTGATATTTTACATGAACATTTGTCTCAATGGACTGCAAGGTTTCTTTATCTTTTTAGGTTTTGTAATGAATGCAAGACTCATACGCATGGTTCGTCAAAAAAGACAGAGAACTTCTTCAACCATGTCACTACATACGAGTAAAATGACAGATATATCTCGTGCTTCATCAAAATTAAAAGAAAATCGTTACTAGGAACATTTTTTGTACAATCACATTAGGAAACAACGTATATATGCAGGTTAACAGATGTCCATCATTATCTTGAATTGCCTGCTCCAAACATACGAAGTGGAAATTTGGGCCAAATACCTGTTGTTGAAACATTCCAACAATAACGCTGTTGTGACGTTATTGCGGCATTATAAATACATGACGTCACTCAGCTGCCCGGAAAGTAAAAATGAAAAATATGAGCATAAAATCATGCTGTCCTCGGATAACCCTGTTGACTTTAAACTCCGTAAAATCAACAACGTAATAAAACTTGTTTTTATAAAAGACGTTGCCAAAAATATTTGTCACATATCAAAGAAAAGAAATCATAAAACATTTTCGGCATCACATTCAAACTCAAATAAGAAACTCTATGAATATTTATATATGTTACATATGAACCTTTATCCAATCATGTTACTGGTGTTTTGTGTATGAAGTTTGATCCAGTGGGTGAAGGATGTAAATATTTAGCCTTTGCTTTGTTGTCTATTGACTGTTTTAACGTGTGTACTTCATTACCTGTATGGTTTTACTCTTTTAATATACAGTCAAACCTGTATATAAAGACCGCTCACGGGAAAATAAAAAAAAGGTCTTTATAGACAGGTGGTCTTTATATGAGGTTTAAATGAGCATCCAAATTCTTGAATCAAAGGGAGATAATCAATTTGAACCAATCCTGTGTGAAGATAATAGCAGTATTCCTGATCCATCGTAAACTTATAATTACAAGCTGTTCTTAATTTTTGTACAAAAAAATCATTATTTAAATTTTTGATATTTTATTAGAATTACATATTTATATCAGCACTAAATAAAAATACAATGTAAGAGAAGAGTTACTATCAAACCATACAAAACATGTCACATTATTTTCTTTGTGTTGATAATCATAGTAATTACACTTTTCTCAAGAAAAACTCATTGAACAGAAGCTATGTGTCAATAAGGTCCATTTTATTCCATGTATCTTTTTAAAGTCGAAACCATAAAGTTAATTGCCTTTTACTCACCTGTACTTGTAAACAAAGCCTACCTGTGACACTACACGACCGTCGTATACACAAGACTGTCATCGAACACAGCACTGTTGACACAGGTGTAATTAGCGTGGTCTACAATGTGGTGGGTTTCGAGACCCTCTCGCTGTTATCCTCGATGTTTTGCTTGTTTATTCTTGTTACATGCAAGTATTGTGTTTTCGTTGTGTATGTTTATGTATTTGATAAGTCTAGGTCAATGTTTGCTATTTTTATTAGTCCTTTAATTTTATAACATAAAAATTCTATCTTCCAACTGCACGGGTCTTGGAGATACTTTTAAACAATAAGACGTCTTTTCTTACCTTAAATAAAAAAAAAATAACATATACTGCCTTCAGGATACTCATTTTACTTCAGATAGAGAAAAAATAATACATACTAATTGAGGATTCGATTGCATTTTTAATTCTAATTCGAGGGGAACAGCCATTCCTTTTAATAACAATTTTGAATGCAAAGTTTTAGAAATAAGAAGGCATCATGGAGATTAAGGGGGGGGAGGGGGGGGGGATAACTCCTATAACACTATATGGACCCAATACTGATCAACCTACTTTATATGACGTACTTTTAAATATTGCTGAAGACTTTGGAAATTCGAGTTTTATTCTATGTGGTGACTTTAATATGATTCTTGATCCAAATTTAGACTGTGATAATCCCAATAACATTAATAATCCAAATGCTAGAAATAAGGTCTTAGATCTAAAAGAGGATTTCTTATTAATAGATACATTTAGAGAGCTTCACCCTAACACGAAACGTGGCACAAGAAAACTCCGCGTAAGCAGGCAAGACTTGACTATATATTGATTTCAGACAGTTTATTACCTAGTTTATTATCGTCAACCATCGAACCAGGGTATCGATCAGACCATTCTTTTTCAGTAATACAGTTAAAATTCAATAACTTTACAGGAGGTCGTGGTTGATGGAAATTTAATAATTCGCTTCTTTTTGACTCGGAGTACTTAGATCTTATTAAATCAACAATAAATGACATAAAGCGACAATATTCTATCCCAGTTTACAATAAAGATAACTTGAATGGCATTCCTGCTGACGAAATTACCTTTGCATCAATGACCTGTTATTTTTAGAAACACTTATGGTGGAACTCAGGGGTAAAACTATTTCTTTTTCAACTTATAAAAAAAGGAAAGTCTAATGAAAGAGAGAAAATTTTAATAAATGAATTTAGGAACTTAGAGAAGACAGGGCCGGATACTATTTTTTTTAATGAACATGGGGACAAAAAAGAAAATTTAGAAGAAATAAGAAAACACAAAATTTCATGCAATATGATACGTTCACGGGCAAATGGATTGGTGAAGGAGAAAAACCCACTAGATATTTCTGTGGTCTAGAGTCAATGAAATATACTTGTAAAATTAAAGTATTGACAAAGATGATGGAAAGGTAATTTCTAGTCAAACTGTAATTCTTAAAGAAACTGAAAATTATTATAAATTATTATATAAAGAAAATAGATCATTAAAAACCGTTAACCTGGAGCTTCTTTTGGAATCCTACAATATACCTAAACTGTCTCCACAGGAATCTTTGAATATCGACCGTCCAATTACACTTATTGAATTATCAAATACTCTTTTTAAAATGAAAAATAATAAAAGCCCAGCTTCTGACGGTTTCACCTTTTGAGTTTTTATATATTTAGGGCACTTTATTTCAAGATAACTTAACTATAGCGTCAGTACTTCAGAACTTTCAATAACACAGAAACAAGGTATAATAACTTAGTAATTATTTTATCTAAATGTAAATTTAAAAATAAAGCTCAATTAAGTGCACAAATCTAACAGTGGTTATATTTTTAAAGTTATTACATGTAGTTAGTATTCGAGTGATTTACTTTTGTCTAATATTTATTCTATTACTCTACCTTGGTACAAAAGTATGCCTTTGTCTTTTAACACATGTATTCACTAATATTATATCTTCTTTACATTATCAGAACCTAGACTTATCTTGTCTATTGTACCTGTTGGTGTAATTAGTGTGCTGTTTTTATGTTGTACAATATGTTCTTCTCCAGTTGTTCCATGTCTTATGTAAATGTTTTTGTTTTGAAAATGTGAAAACGAATAAAATATCAATTAAAAAAAAAAACAATTTTTTCAAAAATTGCTAAATAAAATGAGTACTAACTTGAAACTTGTTTGTGTTTTCTTTTTTCCCAGTTTTTATTTGGAACTATGTTTTTTGCTTTAAATTTAAAAGGCTCTATCAAATATTGCTGGATTACCTCTATTCCCATGATTACGGTGCATATCAATTTCCCGGAGAGCAAATGCGTACAGTTCATCCATGTAGACTGCGAACTGACCTTCCATTCCTTTTGAAAATCTATTCACTAACCTGACCTTGACCTGTTGCAAATGGAGTGTCACGTGTTTGTAATAAAGCGCTCCCTTCCCTAATTAACAGATTAATCTCTTATGTTATCATCAATTTTCATTCCACGTGGTCATTGTTTTCTTACAATTCCATTTAATTTTGCATTTTATGTTTTTAAAACACGTAAAATCTATGAAACAACTCTTAATTTCTTGTGTAATGAAAAATAAAGGTCTCACCCAATGGATAATTTTTTTAATCAACACGACGCAACAAAGAGGATTTACTACATGATGTACATGTAGCTATCATTTGCCATGTTTTTGTAATTTGCCGGCCGTCAGACTGCGTCCATCCGTCCGAGACATTTGTACTTTGAATGGTGGATCATACTTCCGGAGAAGGGACCGCATAAATTCCTCGGATCCAACTGTGGGAAACGAAAAAGACACATGAATGATAGACAACCAAAATTTTTTAAAATTTGCTTTTGCATTGTTGTTGTTCTAAAGAGTTAGTTTAATGATGATGTTTGATTTCTAAGTGAGTTGTCGATGTGAGAACTCATCTGCATACATTCTTTTGGATTTTGTTATTTTCTTACTGCATTGTGTGTGTGTGTGTGTGTGTGTGTGTGGGTGTGTGTGTGTGTGTGTGTGTGTGTGTGTGTGTGTGTGTGTGTGTGTGTGTGTGTGTGTGAGGGTGTGTGTGTGTGTGTGTGTGAGGTGGTGTGTGTGTGTGTGTGCGTGTGTGTGCGTTCGTTTTTGTTACATACCGAGGTAGGATATAGTGTTACACATCCACGTACCGAGGTACCAAAAACTACCGAGGTACATTTCCCGATACCTCGGGAAATGCGTCCATGGTTACTCTAAATTTCACCCACAAAGTTTCAGAGGTACCTCACAACAGCGGTGAAACGTTATGTAGGGTGTGCATTCAGATGTGGTGAGCTACAGAGCTTAGATTTTTCTTTCGCACACACCACACAAGCGTTCTAAAAGAAGTATTTCTATTGGTTCTTCGTAATTACGTCACACTCTATTTCATTGGTCAACATCTACACACCTGTAGTAGGAGGGTTCGGAAGAGGAGAGTTAGGCCATACAAAAGACTTCGCGTTGTGTAATTTTAGTTCAATTTCAGAGAAAATAGGCCGAGACAAGTATAATTCGCGACAGAACAATGGCCAACAGTCAACTTCCAAGCACCAGGTTCTTTATCCTTGATTAGTCGAAGTGTTAGGAAAGACCCACGACAACACAGAAGTTTAGTTCCACAAGTTTATTATGTAGACATTGATGGAAAAAGAATAAACAAAACAAAAATAAATTAACAGAAGTGTAAAGCTTATCAAAAATAAACTGGAATCAACAGATCAAAAATAAGTCAACCTAAATAAATGTAAAGTGAGGTAGTACTGCAAGGTACACAGTTCCTAGTCCTGGGAAGTTCCCATGGCAACATTCCCTCCTTACACTTCAGACTCTTGCCTATAAATACAACTAGAGGTAGATTTAAATATAAACAATGTCCATTACTGTAATGGACTAGTACTCCTACAGTAACACTAGA